GTTGCTCAAGCGATATCGCATGCTCTGCTACAGTTCATGTGTATTGTACGATCGATGTTTAGAGTATAATTGTATGAAGTCTCCTTGAAGTGAGTATTCATGGAGGAGCTTTTGTTTATTAATCATCATGCATCGTCATCATCATCATAACAGTTCTCTTCAAATGCATCTCATGATTGATCTCGTTGATTTGGACATCGTTGTCTATACAAATCCTTGTGGAAGCATTATTTATGAGCCATGTTATCCTAGCTATCCAATACTCTAGTGATTGCCATGATCGAAGAACATCTCATGAAACTTGTTGTTCCACTCACTCACACATTCTGTGCACTACCATATCTCTTATCGCGTTTGAAATCATATGAGATTTTCGATAGCTGTCTTGAAGTTATCACCGTTCATAAATGTTATCATACATATCACTTGATGCAAAATCTCTTCGATGCACTGTTCCGAGAGTCCTATTAAACGTGCTATAGCAACACTGTCGATTGAAATGGATCAGTATCCGCCTGAATCAGGCTTTCTCGGTCGACTTCCGTCTATACGACGCCTATCTCATCGGCTGAGTTTTCGGGCCGCAATCCAAAGAACCATTCCGGATGTAGCCGGTTGCATACTTCATGAAGGTATTTTTGTTATTATCATCCTTTCTTCACGTTCATCTATCTCATTTGTTGACATGATACTGTTATTACCTTTCATCGCCATTTTCGATCGTTTTTTTTGCTGTTTTTGCGAGGATGTTTGTTTTTTTTGCTTTCTCACATTTTTCAAATCATTTTCAAATTTTCAATGCGTTCTATCCATTATAACATTCCTTCGTTATTTTGTATAACCTGTTGTATTACATTCAATGCTTCACGCTTCCTTTATAATCCATAATTTTAATGTCATGCCTATCCAATACACTTCCCAGCATTTGTGTATGTGTGTGTAGTTCTTGTTTATCACTTTTCATGAGNTAATTCAGATTTGCGTGTTTTGAAATATGCTTGTTACTAACATATCGTCCTATACCTTCCACATATTCATTCATTCCCTTTGGTGAGTTGTTCGTATTTTTAAATCAATGTTCTTGTGTGATCGTTTCAATCAGTGGTTTTTCGCTCATTTTTTCACATCTATTTACAGCTAACTTTTTTTCCAATATTGTGCTTTTTCTAACATTCCGAATGAATTTTCCATATTTTCGATCTGTTTCATTCAGTGGTCAGATTTGCTGTCAACTTTCACGAGAGGTATTACTCTCATTGTCGTTTTTTCCATTTTTCAATTGTTTTGGACTGAATTTGTTTCAAAGCTGTTCCACAAAAATTCTCAGTCAAGTTATGTGAAAACATGATAAGATTTTATGTGATCTAGTCAAATTTCAGTCTTACCCAGCAGTGCACCATCAACGGCTCGTGATAGTCTTAAGCCAGCGCTATCGAAATCCGTCTATTCGGATGAAGGCGCTCATCCATCGCAATCAATTCCATCGCCAGATTTTTCATATGAACGTTCCATAACGATCGGCTCATGTCCTCCATCGGCTCTTGGAAGCACATCACGCTCGCAAATTCCCACCGGTGGATCCTCACAGCTTCAAGCGTCCAATCTGGACGATGAAGAAGAATTGATGTTCAAGAATTTACCATGGATTAAGGTCTATGCTGCTGAAATATCGCTTCTTCAGAAGTATTTCTGATTTCTGATGACCGCTTCGAAAACTTAGCAAACCTCGAAGAAAACCATTCAAAACTCCTAAAAACCTTACAGTTGACCAACTATACCAAATAATCTCAGTCGAAAAAAGTTTTTTAATGACCGTTCACATTGTCTGGTAATTTGGTACCTTGATGGTACCTCCTCTTAAGTCAAATCCATATCACCGCAGCAATTGATGTGGAAGAATGCTCCTAAATGCATTCTGGTACTAAGCACAGATTTTAGGTCGTTATCACCGTGATGAACAGTTTCAATCTCACATGCACACATGAAAAATGTTGTCAAAAGTGGTGTTTTGAACGGATCTATCGGCAGTGTTATCGCCTTACAGAAGCATTACGTAAGATCTATGATGACAGTTTGCCTTCGGAAACAAGATTGGACAGGCGTAAAGCGCTGATCGATATGTGGAATGCCAAACAGGAGACTATGCGGAAGGTTTGAGAATGTCATAATATCTGGTGGCATTTATCATGCATTTGAATATTAATTTAAGAGATGATTTACACTCTTCCTGAGCTTACTAAAGACATGGTAATTCCGGAACCAAAGAGTAGAACCTTACAATAAGGAACGAAAAAAATTTTGATCAAAATGATATTTGTCGATCATAGAGAGGCATTATTCATGTGCTAGCAGTGAACTAGTTTTGCGAATATTGATCGAATGGCTAAGAATGATTAATTAGTAATTAGTAATTAGCTAAATTTAAATCGAATGATATCTGAATTGTAATTAAATAAATTCGGTCCATCTTCAGTCGTTGCAAAGACATTCTTGCTATGTGGCGAGACGTGAAAGTGCGACTGTCCGACAAGGTGCATTGGTGGACAAGGCACCCATGGCGTTGAGGGGTTTGCTGATTGAAAAACTCAATGAAATTGAAGAAGGCAAGGAGGCTAGAGCTAAGAAAGCAGTCAATCAGGTTATTTTTATAGAAATCCTTTTTTGGAATTAGAATTGTTCACTTTCACAAAATCACTGAATAATGAATTCATTAGGTCTATTCACAAGAAATTCGAATGCTCCATAGCATGCTAAATCGCGTCGATCTCCCTTGAAAGTCTCAAATGATCTATATGTTAAGCAAAAAATCCTGCTCCAGAGCCTGAATTCTGTCCACTAATATTGTTTTAACAGATGAGTAAACGCTCGCTCATAAGTATGTTTTAAGAATTGTAATATGTCGTTGAAAATCGTTTGTGAGCGAATCATGGATAAAGGAAACGTTTCAGGATTCTGATGACCTGATAGAAGCTAGTCAACTGCAGGCTCGTCAACGAGCACCGGCCATATTGAGTTATATTCGAACACAAGTTCTGCACATAGCACATTCGCCGTTATCAACACTGCTCAAGAGTTGTCTTGTGCTCAAAGATGAACAATACAGTGAAACCNCAACTGCTTGTTCATTCAGATGCACATGTAGTTGCAACAGCAGGTTCGCCATTATGCCCTGCTCAAATAGGAATGTTCATCGATACAAAACTGTCAATTGAATGAAACCAAACAACTCATTTTAGCCAGAGCTCTGAAATTCAGACTATTTTTCCTCCGAAATCCATGCATATCACGTATGACTGAAAGCACGGCTTGCAGGGAAATAGTGATAAGTATGAACTTTGAAAACTGGAATAAATATATGTGATTTTCATTAAAAACACTGGAACTGGATCAAATTTCAAAGAATATGCCAATATCATTTCCAGTTGATTGCCTACCTTTTCAGCATCTCTGTTCATTGTAACGGCCGTCCGGCG